AAAATCACGGTACACTTGATCTGACACCGAGGGGCCGCTCACAAAAACTATGAGCCAGCCAGAACCACCCGTTCGATGGAACCCAGTGTATTGTGACTGCTGAGGAGCACGTTCACCGAGCATGCGTGCCATCTCAGCAGTATCCACGGCGGATGTGAAGCCTTCGAGGCTGGCGTGGAGCTTGCGGTCGGTGTGGAGCCCGCATGGGCGGTGTGGAGCCTGCATGGTCGGTGTGGAGCCTGCATGGTCGGTGTGGAGACTTCATGGTCGGTGTGGAGACTGCATGGTCAGTGTGTGTGTGTGTGTGTGTGTGTGTGTGTGTGTGTGTGTATGTGTGTGTGTGTGTGTGTGTGTGTGTGTGTGTGTGTGTGTGTGTGTGTGTGTGGTGTGTGTGTGTGTGTGTGGTGTGTGTGTGTGTGTGTGTGTGTGTGTGTCCACTATCCTGATAATCACCTGCACACCTCAAACTGTGGCGAGTTTTGGCGCCCAATTTTCACACTACCAGGGCCTGCTGCCGACGGTTCGCCGTGTCACGTGACCGCTTTGCACTTTGGACAATGAGTGTGTGGCGACTGAATTAAATTCGCAAATTTTCCATAAGTTGAACATGACCGAAACCAATTGCCAGGGATCGCCAAACGGCATGCGCGGCGTTTAATCCCGGACTCGTATCTCGAGTCGGGTCCACCAGCGGGTCGGAGCGACATGAAATTTGCACGCTTCGGCGGGAAATCAAATAGGGAAGCACATGGCACAAAATGTGCGGTAAGTCGTGCCATGCTACAGAGCTTAAACGATGAATCGGCCGCTCTTGACCATTTTCATGCATTGTGGCACATTTCAGTACCTATTGTGTGAATGGCGTGAATCGATGAAAAATGTGGAAATGCTCCCGCATCGCCAGACGCTTATCATAACTGGTATCGCTAAAAACAAGGCCGATTATAATGCCCTGCCGTAAAAACTGTAAACATCTTGACGATAGAACTACGCCAACCTGTCCGCCGATTCCTTCTCCTACCACCGGCCTTCTGCTCGTCGTGTTTTGTCTGACATCGTTCGGAAATTAACTTTAGGCGAATAGTGCAGTATGCTGCAGTACGCAACGTCGTAATACAACCGGCCGATCTCTCGTCTGCCGCCGATGAGTTGCTACGGTCAAACGGCCGTGTTCGTGTGCGACTGGCTGCACCATTTCACCGTAGCTTACTGAATACGCTCTCCCTCACCGATATCTCAACAACGGCCGTCGTTGTGGAGATATTGTTAAGCGTTCCCGACCCACGATGGGTCGGAACGGCAAAAAATTTGTTCGTTTCGACAGGGAATCAAATGGACAATCCCGTGGTGCCAAGTGTGCGGTGGTGCGTTCCATATGTTACGCGCAACCAGGCTGGCAAGATGGAGTTTTCCGTCTTCGAAGAGTTACTTCACTACGAGTGTGCCTCGATCACGAGCGATACGCGAGCCCGGGCCGGTATCTCGACAACGGCGGGTCGGAACGATTCGAGAGTGACACGCGTCGATGGGGCATCGAACGGACAAACGCATGGCGTCAAGCGTGCGGTCGCACGTAACATGTGTCACGAGTTGGCACAATGGGATCTGTTGTTTTTGACTGTTTTCACGTGTTGTCACATCTCGGCGCCCCGGGGCACGGGGCGACTCTGTACTGTCATGCTTCCACAGGATATCGAACAGCCAATCGCGTTGTGTCACGTGTACGGTGGCACTGGCCACGCGTCACGTCCACGCGACCTGGCAAGATCGATTTTGCCGTTTTCGACCGTTTCCATGCTTTGTGCCACATCTCGGCACCCAGGACAAGTAGCGACTCGGGAAGGGGAATATTTCGATGGGGAACGTACCGGGAAATTTCGTGGTGCCAAGCTGGCGGTTGCATGTGTTACGTGCACACCAGCTGGCAAAATTGACTGTACTGTTTTCGACGGTGTTCACGCTTTGTGCCACATCTCGACATCCAGGACACGAAGCCACTCGGAAGTTACATACTTCGATAAGGAATCGGACGGGTGGTGCCAAGTTTACGGTGCCACGTGTAATGCGTACACGAGCTGGCAAGATGAATTTTGCCCCTCCGAACGTTTTTCACTTTTCGTGCCATATCTCGGCACCCAGGGCAGCTAGAACTGAATCAAACTACAAATCGTGTCTACGCATACGTATGAAACGGATAGCGCAGAAAAACGAGCGTGAAAACGCTTTTAACGCTTGAAATGACTGTCCGTTTTCTCCTACGTTAAAGTGTGTTGGTACCGTGAATTCTTCCATGTATCTCCCATTGGTGAGAGGAACGCCTGTGGCCCGTGTTCTAGCCATACTCTTCGGTTTTTCTTGTGATCTAGAGGGTTTGCATTTCCAGTACCGAAAATACTATTCTGCTCTTCAAGATATTAAGGAAAACATTTACGCTCTTGCAATAAGTGCACCTACTCCCCAATACGGTATCGCCGGATAACGCCACGGAACGTTTTTATGACGTTCACGTCGCTGCCAGTCTAACTGTATTAGAGTCGTCATTGCAGTGGGTGGCGTGACTTAATTGTAGTACTTCTACGCGCCGCAAGATGGTGACGGTGACCTAGGCATGTACATTTATGTTACGAGCTCCATACACGTGTGACGTATAAAGTCATCATTTAGCATGTTGTTGAGGCTGACTGCTTTCGCCTGCCACGGACGCTCTGTGCAAAACTACGAGAGATTTGGAATACATCTCTCGGCCCCGTCGGATGTCCCTCTTTCGTTCTCTCATCAACAATGGTGGCAGCGGCGGTTGAGGGTACTTTTGCCCTTCAAGATGGACTCAAGCCCCTCCAGTTGCAATGTCATTGCTCTCCGGGTCGTCCGTTCATCCTGACGGTACGTCACCCTCCATGTCAAGCGGTCAGCACGGGTACTGACCCCTCTAGGATGTCACCGTCCACCAGCATCGTCCCAGTCTTCAGCTCTGAGCAGCATCACCGCTCTGAATCCAACACATCAGCTACACGTGACCAAAATGGAGCCTGCTGACATCATGCAGCCGACCAGCTTGTGCCGTGTGTGGTTTACTCACACAATCTAGTGATTTTCCCCCAGCAGCGACAAGAAAATTACTGTGAATTTTTTGAGCTCTTGCTCCTTTAGCACCAATTCGATGACGGCGAAACCAGGAGCAGTGCAAACTGCACTAAAACTTGTGATTCCCGCCCCCCCCCCCTCCCCCCCAGCAGGGGGAAAACAGGAAAAAGTGTCCGGAACTCAAAAATGCTCTCCAGAATATTGTACTCAAAAGATCTCCTGCAGTCGTTCATGCGCAGAGTGCAGTGTAATTGTTCTGTGCCGGCTGTCCCCTCTAAATTTGTAAGAGTTTTGCAGCACTTTGCTATCGTAATTAACATATTGAGCATTGCAAGATGTCATATTGATGTTCTAACATAACATTGTCCACATTAGGTATCAACATTCAACTACGTGCTATATCGTGGTTAGCTCGCTGAATTTTATGCGCACATGTGTTCCGACCGGAGTAGCCGAAGCGGCCAGAGGTGCCGACGACGGTCATGTCAAAGGTCAGTGAATCGTACAACCGTAAGTCCCACAGCCTTGGCGGGCACTCGAGGCGATCCTGGCAATTGCCCTTTTCTAACGTTAAGGGCTATTCAAGCCACCTGGCAGGCGGTGCGTGTAGCTACTACGATTTAAATTACTTATCAATGCATGTCATACTTGCAATGTCCGCAACTCTAAACTCTACTCTTCGCGCATGTTCAGGCGTTTGCTCTCTTTACTGTGGTCGCTTCGGTTCCCAACGCTGCCCTGGGGGAGGGAAGATAGGTGGGACCGAGGCTCCCTCTTCATATGCAAAGGAATCACAAGCCAGAACCGGCCCGTGCTAGGACACGCCTCGGATGATGGCCTCAGTCTACCCGAGGCGGCCGATTCTCACTCAGCTGACGGTCGAGTATTCCGGGAACCAGCCGCACCGACGGCCGCCATTCCCTGTCACGAACACTGTCAGAGACTGTGGGATGCTTGGAAACACCTCCCGGCCCTGTTGGACGTCTTTCTTTCGTTTCTCGCCGGCAGCGATCTCCCTGTCTTGTCATGGCCGGCCTTGCAGTGGAGTTGTCTGTATGTGGAGCTGTAGTGGTGTTTTTCTCCCGACGTCCATCCAAAGCGTGCGTGTTCAGGCTGGTGGATGCCGGTACGGTGCCGCGACCAGTACTGCTATGTCAGAACTGCACCGACATGTGGCCTGACCCCAGTCACTTGGTGTCGGGTCGAGATCGTGTCGCACCCATCCCGTGTTGGGTACTAAAATGGTACGCCTCACAGGCTCATCCCCACCTTTGCTCGAGTGGCAGACTCCGTGCTTTGCACGCTCGTCTCTCTCCATATCACAATTACATCTTTGTGGCCGTCGTTCACTCCTTATTGGAGTGAATTTGTGAAGCAGTTCACTCCACAGGTGAATTTCGATGTATGCCGTTCTGTGAAAAGCGCATGATCTAATTTTCGTTCGATGCTGCGAGCTCTTCGCTTGAGGAGTTTCATAGCCGGATATCTACGGAAGCGTTTGACGTCCAACGGTGAGCCCTCCACCATATAGTTCCGAAAACGATGTCGAAAAGACCGTTCGTTTCTGACACCATGTGTAGATGCTAAACAGCTGCTCGCGATATGCAGCGAAAATTCTTTCAGTGTTTATGCAAAAGGTATTACAGTGCTCTCGAGCAAGGATGCGACCATCTCTCTGAGATTGGACGGTCAAACTGGAATTCGGGGGACATCCTGATCCGAAAACGGTATCTTGAGTGGGAGTAGGTGAAAATATGCAGTGTACGGGCAAAAATGTAAGAGACACAACCCCATCATGCGAAACTTAACACGCGTTTCTTTGACCCTCCCCCCGCACCGCAACCCCCACCCATACCCTTCTCAAACCCTCCAGTAATTAAACCATGCCACTGCTGCCTAGTATATCTTGTATTGCGTCAAAAATGATCCAGATCTTTATACCACGCTTTCCAACCGAGCTCGGTAAGCTGTAAATACCGACCAGGGCATCATGCTGACAGAATGCACCAAACACTGGTGGGCTCTGGTGTAACGGCAAATGAGCACAAGCAGATCGTTTGGGAGCGAGTCAGAGATGCAAACTTTGCATTTGCTCGCAGGTGAGCAGCGCACATAACGCTTACCAAAACAGGCGAAAGTAAGGAAGCGGTTCGGGCGAATAGAGCTGTAGGAGTAAGACACGCCCTCCGGGCCGTGCGTGCTACTTGCGGTAGCCGCCATCGCTGGTGGTCACCTCCGTGTGGGGGTCCACAGTTATGTGGAAGCCAGACTTGTCCGCAGAGAAATTGATCGTCCGGTTCACACCACGGAGGTCCAAGTAGCTAAACGAGCCGACAACAGGAGTAAAGAGGACGCTGGCGTCGTAATTGGCGTTTTGATCGTAGGCTTGATGGTGGTCACCGCCCGGCGTGAAGCCAGGGATATTTCTCAAGAAATCACCAGCATATTTGGCGTAGGGGGCCAACAAATTCATGCAGTATTGGAGCGCATCCTGCTGTCCCAGGTTCCTCGACTCGCCAGCGGTGTGCGAGTGGTGGCCGGCGGCCGCAACGGCCAGGACAACGCAGATGACCACCTGAAACAGACAAACTGGACCTAATATTTTCTTTTAAAAATAATTGAAAGAAAAGAGCAGTGTCATAGGAGGTTGCTGCTAAAAATATATTGCAGAAAACACCTGACGGATTTTTTTTTCAAGTCGACAATGCCGACCTGAACGAAGGACTTGTTTTGTCATCTGCAAGATGGCAAGGAACGCACGGACAGATAACGGTGACATTGATCTAGTAAAAGGAAGGATTTAGCGATATATCTTTGCATTTGAAAGTCACTACTGTAAAAGGTAATGTTCCAAGTTTGTAAGTGGTTTTGAACTGAGCTACCCATTTGTTGCTACCCATCATATTCCCTGCTGTCCAGCCGCGTACTTCGAATCTCCTCGCTTCCGAACTTAATGCACGTGGACTTCCGCACCCCATTACCCACCGCCTATGGTACTTTTACCCGACACGTGCAAGATCATAGAAATTCACGCGAAAACCCCACGTCATTAACCGTGCTGTACCCGCGGCCAAAACAATGTGGCTGTTTAACCACTCGTGTTTTGCAGTTATGCAGCGCCAAATGCCCAAACGATGAGAGGCAATTGACTAGCAGATTGCGCTGCTAGTTGTATGGCTCGACCACTTTGGTAACTTTGTTGGTTGTGTTAGAGCCTTTTCGGCCAGTAAAGGCCATTTCAGGGTTGTGGGATGCAGAAGAATGGATATCGGTGGGGCAGGACTATATGCATCTGGGGATCCAAACTCCAAGATTTAGCCCGTACAGGAACCCTTTTACAAGCATGTGTCTGCTGTTCGGACGGGGCCCCTGACGGGGCCCCGTCCGATTGGCCCGTATACGAAACCTTTTACGGGCATGTCTGCCGCTCGGACATGGCCCCCATCAGGGAAACTTCGACCCACCCGTGACTGGCGCGTGCAGCCTGTTCCCGGATGAAACAAAAACGAGGACCAACGGCTAGATATGACAAACATGAGACTAAGTATCGAATAACTTAAGAAAAGTGCCGTAGCCAAAAAGGCAAGAGCAGGTAAGGGAGATGATATCACGGAAAATATCCAAGAAAACCAAGAGAGAGGATACAAAACGTACACAATGCTTGCTTATCAAGGTCACACGCGTAGATCAGCAACGCCACCTTGTGGCGCGTGCAAGTATCTCAAGTGAGTTACGCAGTTCATTACAGCGACAACTCTGACACGGCAGATGTGGCAACGACTCTAGTGTCCTAAAAATGTCCCATGACTTAACCCAATGACAATGTTCTAATGCCCATATATCCTTATCGGCGAAATTGTGATCTACAGCAGCCGTTTGCAGTTAAAAGCATGAGAACAGCTACAAGCGAGTCGTGTGTATCATATCTGATGCGTGGCTCAATATATCCAAATGCGCAACACTCCCTTTAAGATGCTGACTAGGGCTGCTGTAAAAAATCAAACAGCATAATGTAATGCACATCTTCGGCAAGCATCGTAAGCAGAGGACTCACCAGGACTTTCATGGCTGAACTCACTGGTTTCTGTGATGCCTGTGGTCATGGGCCGACCAGCTTTATACTGGCTGGAGCGGTGCTGACTGTGAAGCCACGCCCACGCTGACCGCAATGCTCACATATCATTGGAGGAGATGTTGCCGGCTCGATCTCCGCGAACAGTGGCCATCATCAGTTATCGCCCCCCCCCCCCCCCCCCCGCGCCAAGGTCGGAGAAGGGCCTATCCTCATGTAAACCGCAAGAGTAAGAAACCTGATTGCATGGAACGCTCTTTTTGCAAGGCTTGCAGCATGGGCGACGGTTTGGGTTCCTTTAACGGCAGCATCAAATTCGGGTCGTCGTGTAACGATCAGCCTGGCGTGGCCGCAGATAGCCATACCAGGAGGCTTCTCTTACCGCATCTGGTCAAAGGAAACGCATTGGCCGCCGAATGTTCCGATATGACGTCAGTGGTCGTCTGGCCTGTGTCGCCATGGGATCACCGGCAACGGTTCCTCTGGGCGCCGGATGTTGACCTTATGCATCCCGTGCCGTCTGTTGTGTTAGACTTATTGTGGGGTGTCCAGCTGGTTAATTTTAGTGGAATATTTCGAATAAGTTTGAACAAACAGGCAAATGTTGCACTACACCAGTATCTGGCCAAAATCACGCTACACTTGATCTGACACCGAGGGGCCGCTCACAAAAACTATGAGCCAGCCAAGAACCACCCGTTCGATGGAACCCAGTGTATTTGCGAATGCTGTGCGTGGTGTGTGTGTGGTGTGTGTGTGTGTGGTGTGTGGTGTGTGGTGTGTGTGTGTGTGTGTGTTTGTGTGTGTGTGTGTGTGTGTGTGTGTGTGCGTAGCGTGCGTGCGTGCGTGCCGTGCGTGCGTGCGTGCGTGCGTGCGTGCGTGTGCATTGGGGCTTTACGGCGTGCTTAGCTGCTGAGGCTATATGGCGCCGCCTGCCTCTCACCACTGAGCAGGAAGGGGCGGGGCACCGCGCAGAAATCGAACCCAGTAACTCTGGTTTCCCAGGCACGCGTAGTAGTTAGCACAAATTGCGCTACCACTTACCACTACAGACACCCCGCGTGGCCGGTGTGGACTCCTGGCATAGTTTTTTTCCCGTGTTGAAGCCTGCATGGTCGGTGTGGAGCCTGCTTAGTTGGTGTGGAGCCTGCATGGTCGGTGCTCAGCCTGCACGGTCGGTGTGGAGCCTGCTTAGTTGGTGTGGAGCCTGCTTAGTTGGTGTGGAGCCTGCATGGTCGGTGTGAAGCCTGCATGGTCGGTGTGGAGCCTGCATGGTCGGTGTAAAGACTTCATGGTCGGTGTGAAGCCTGCATGGTCGGTGTGAAGCCTGCATGGTCGGTGTGAAGCCTGCATGGTCGGTGTGAAGCCTGCTTAGTTGGTGTGGAGCCTGCTTAGTTGGTGTGGAGCCTGCATGGTCGGTGCTCAGCCTGCATGGTCGGTGTGGAGCCTGCTTAGTTGGTGTGGAGCCTGCTTAGTTGGTGTGGAGCCTGCATGGTCGGTGAGAAGCCTGCATGGTCGGTGTGAAGCCTGCATGGTCGGTGTGGAGCCTGCATGGTCGGTGTGAAGCCTGCATGGTCGGTGTAAAGACTTCATGGTCGGTGTGGAGACTGCATAGTCGGTGTGGAGCCTGCTTAGTCGGAGTGAGCCTGCGAGGCCGGTGTGGGGCAAGCGTGGTCGGTGTGGAGCACGCGTGGTCGGTGTTCAGCCTGCTAGGCCGGTGTGGGGCCTGACTGAAACTTTTGAAGATGATAGAGCCTCAAAATGGCCATTATTATAGAGATTACGGTGTCACAACACACAGACCCATCAGCAACAATATAGTCGGTCAGACTGGCAGGTGAACACAACCAGGCAGTGCAAAACCACACAGGAATTCAAAAGATCATACTTCGAAATATGCCAAAGCATACCGGTATAGAGGAAAACAGCAGCGTACTCGAAGCTCACTGCATCCACATAGCCAGACGTTTCATGATTGCATAAATCATATCACATAATATATACCATAAATAACACAAATCACATAAATTGAGTCCATACATGTTCATAAAGTTCATAGTTGGAAGTGCATAGCTAGAATGGCATAGTTCACAGATAGATTCCTACAGTAGATTTCATAACAGCATTCGAAATTTGCAGAACATTTCTAAAAATAGCATTGATCCAACGTGTCGCACATTAACACACGCTCGGGTGAGCGCGGGTCAATCTGCCCCCCCCCCTTTCCCTGAAGGCTTTTCCAAAATGGTTTGCAGGCGACATGGCATAGCCCCGCGAAATTTTGCATAGCTGTAGACTGTTTAATGGCAGATCGTTCGGAATCAAAGATTTATATGCATCTTGTAAGATTTCTCACATACAGCAGGTCAAAGCCAGACCATGGAACCAGCGAAGGCAGTTTTTAAGAACTTGTTCAATCTGATGCAACGACGGGGTGTTGGACGAAGCCACGCATCCCTGAGATAGATTCTTAGCAGAGACAACAACTGAATGAACAAACTCCAATGACTTAGAGTCAAGTATGAAAGTTAAACCAAGGTAAAAACCGACTTGCTCTATTAATCCAGAACTTGCTGTGTGGTGTGTGTGTGTTGGTACTTGTTTCAAAGTCATTGATAATAGGAACAACATTATAATCTTTCATGGACCTCTTAAGGCTCAGAATAGGTCACTGACCTGAAATGACCCAATGTTTTGTTTCTTGGAAACATACTGCCTAGCGTAATCTTTGACGCTTTTCAAATGCAAAACTCAACGTTGTCTTGTATGATTGCGATCACCATGACATGTAAAATGTCAAAGTCTTAGATCTTAAATGAGCACCAGTGACTTTTTGGTTAGAACAGGTATCTAGGTTCTGGGGCAATTTGGACACCAATATTGTGATGTCTTCGTCCAGTGGTTCGTTTCAGCTCGGTCAGCGTGTAGCGAGGCGGTGATCTGTATTGGACCGAGTCTAGTGGCGTCCTGCCCCTGCCATCCCAGGCAGGCATGACATAACATTGAGTTCGGGTGAACTACCACTCATAAGTCATCCTGCATACACGCACCTATCACGCGTCCCGTACGGTCCGCCACGGAACGGCGGTCAGCGCCCCCGGCGGTAGGTTCCACCGGCCGCATTCCACCGCGCGGCCGGAGCCGCGCCGAGACACGACAGGGACAGCATGCTGTGCCGCCGGGCCGGCTGGGCG